CTGTAGTTATGATGAGACTAGAAATTAAGGATTATTCCCGCATTCGATTTCTTTCGGAATAATATCCTTTTGAGTATTCCGTTAGAGCTAATGAATTCAACATCCAGAAAGATTAGTCGTTCATACTCCCCCACCGCCATTATCAATTTAATTCTTTCATTAAGTTGGTTAATGAAATCGAGGAAATTGTTTAAATTTTGCTTACCATGTGACCAAAGTGCAAAGTAGTCATCCAAGTATCACATAAGCACTCTTGGTTGCAATGGTGACTTCTCGAATTCCTTCCCAAATTTGTCCATGTATGCATTTGCCAAAAGAGATGAAAGTGGATATCTCATCGGTAGTCCTAATATTTACTCGTAGATAATGCCGTTGAATTTAAAATATGTGGAACTTACTGGCAGGTTGATTAGTCGTAGTAACGAATCCTTCTGTATCCGCTCGGCTTCCAGAATATCTTCCTCTCGTTCCAAGACCTCCAGCAGGGCGATGACTGCCTTATCACCTGAAATGTTTGCGTACATGGATTGTACGTTAAAACTTACCAAGATTTCCGTCCCCTTCTCTTTTCGCATGAAGAACTATTTGGTCATTCATTTGTAAGTTTCTACGAATCTTCATCAATCCATTTACTTTCATTGGCTTTTGATGGAACAGAATTGTCGGGATTAATTCAATTTTCATCTCCTAATTGGTCTCTTCTGAGAAATTTCTCCGAGATGTTGATAACTTCTACAAAGATATCTTCTAAAATCTTCCCTTCGTTACCAATTGAAAAAATTAACCCTTTTTTCAGGAGATTCACCGTTTCGAAATCAAGAGGGATTGAGGATAGGTTTACTAGCTTATACCTATCGTCGGAAATTATCATGCATACTATGGACTCAGGACGAGATGCGTTCCTCTGGGTCTTCTTGCCAAATGCCCAAGTTGCGAAACCAGGGTCATACAACTTCTATACAACGAAAAGAGACCGCGACCATATAAAAGGTAACTTTTTTCTTTTCTTCGAGAGTCTAACTTTGTTTAAAATCAAGCAAATAGACTTATGAGTTAACAACGGAAAATCTCATATTGTCTGTATCATTAAGGAAAATTTAACTCAGATATAGGTAACTATAGCTCTACTTAAGTATTGACTTCATAAACAGTGGTAGAAGCAGTTTATGTTATCACTTATAAAGAGTGCTTACTTTGAAACTCCGGTCCATAATTCACAAGGATGGTCCACTTCTTTTGCAGAAAAATCCAACTTTCGAGCTGCCGGTATCTGTGTCTCTACATGTCCTGTCTTCGACTCGATAAATTTTTGATTTTCTGATATATTATCCCTGTTCACAGTTTCTTCTTTGCTATTCGGTAGGAGACTTAAATGATCCTGCTTAGCTAAAAGAAAACTTTTTCCTGACAGAGGTGTGCCTTCTAGTTCACTATATGCATCGCCAGTTGGTACAATCAGTTCATATGGTGTGTGAGTAGGCCTATCAAGTTTCTGCACATTAAAGACAGAGATAACTCGAGGTTGACTAATTTCTTCCCAACATTCTTGTAATTTCCCAGTCGTTTGCTGTTTGTCATTGCCACCGTTTATATTTGATTCAGGAGATTCGACGAAGGCCACATTCGATCTGGCGGTTGTCTTTAAACGAATTGCTGAATTTGAATAGTCGTTCAGGGGAAAGGGACTAGGTTGATGGGATCTAGGAGCCTGAGCTGCTAAGGGTAGGAAAAAGATAGTATTAAGAAGCAGAGTCTGCGAGCTGGTTGATACGTAGACGCTCTGGGTCAGTCAATGAGATGTACTTACCAGAATAGCATATATGTCTAGGGCTAGTAGAAATAGGTGCAAATGGTAGAACTGTCTCGCCAGAAGGCGAATATTCTGTGTATGATGATGCCGAGTTATAACCAATTAAATTTTGCTTGATATTGCAGACAAGGACTTCAGACGAAGATGAGTAAGCCGGTTGCGTGTGTGCAATCAGATTTGTCACAGAAACTGTATTACATGTGCTGCAAGGTGAAGAGGATCGACACGTTCGTGGAGGAACATAAATAGAATCCTCCTCGATAACGGGGGGGTGAACTCTAATATCAGAAGTAGCCCAATCGCTGGACCCTTCTGCATTTATCAGCCTGCCAACAGGATCTTTATTGGCATCAAAGGGAACGCAGGACGATGGTAATAGCTGTGAAGGCGGCTTCCGGGAGCCTCCAGGAAA